AGCAACGCGGTATCTCCCTATCCTTTTCTGTCGCTCAGAAGCGCCATTTGGTATAAAAAGAAAGATAGTAGGTGCTAGAAGACCACATATTATTACATAATGTACTGTAAAGAATGTAGTGTTAACATAGAATTTTTTTTCATTAAATTAATTGTTATATTCAGGAATAATATGTACTGCCTCTTTTTTTAAGTGATATAATTATTCAGAAACAACTAATTTATCTATGCTCCTAAAAATATATTTTTGCTTTGGTTTCAATTAATCATGTCGTCATTTTGATATTACGCAAGCATGACGTTTCCTGTGACCTTTTTTTCCTTCATAATTTAAAGGAGCTCGCATCTTTCATGCTTCAGCACTTTTTGTTTGATGATTTATAGAAAAAAAACTTGAAATTTTCAATATCTTACAGGAGCTCCTAATTGCTGATATTCATCCTCATCTGTTAGAGTTTGTCGTGGGTTTGTTCGTGTTATGTCAATCATTGGGGTCATCTATTACAAGAAAATTTAAAATATTCAGGCCTTTTCTGTAGATTTAATTGGATTGAATCGATTGGGGAGAATTTTGGCTTAGTTGATAATATATTTTGCATAATTGCGTTACAACTTTCGTTTCCTTTACTATGATATTGTTTGGTAAGGAGCTACCAGACTCTTTTATAACAATATAATCACACAAATGGTTTAACCATGATATATTATCATGGTAATTGATATATGATATATTATCATGGTTATCAGCCTGTTAATATGTCCACTACTGAGGTCAGAATCAAAGTAAATTCAATAGGCTTTCTCTACATACATACCAGCACACGGGCCCGATGTGAATTGTTGTTTAGATGCTTGCGAGAGCTCATACAAATTTTTGATCTCTCATCCTTCTAAAACTTGATCAACCTCTACAATTGCAGGCCAGAGACGCTAATTTGTGTACTATCAAGTTTCCCAGTAACTAATCCATCAAATTCACCTAATTCACAGTTTTGATGATGATAGATTTTGTTTGCATCATTTATATTATAAGTAAACACCGCTCGTATACTCCTGACATAGGTAGCATACGATGGATCAGCCGTTGTAACTGCTCTATCAATATTCATCATATCTAATACACGGAAGATCTCAGGATCGTAAGCAACGCTTTGGTTATCCATTATCCATGCCCTAATAACGTCTAAATATACCGATAACTTCACAAGTCACTTTTCTTCTAATAAGCTCTTACTAACTTTTAAATTTAACTTTGATCAAGAACAGTTTTAAAGTTCCCTTTACGTAATTACTTACTATCTTTTGATTTCCTATTAAGTTTGATAAATGACAATTTTAGCAAATTATGTATATTGTTCCTTTTCTTGTATATTTTCATCTAGCATTTTTATAAGTCCACTTTTTATTGATTTAACTACGAGTACCTATCTTGACATATTTTACATATAATACCTACAATATGGTTAAGCCACAATATTGTGAAAACAATAAAAGATAAGTAAACATGAATATAGATGTCAAAAATGAAATCAAAACAAACATGACCTTGTAATAACGAAAAACACATCTTAAACCAACTCGTTTTTTATTTCGTCTCTAAAACAAAGTGAAAACTGCTAGGTGGAAAAATCTACACTGCATATGTAGTGGATGAACAAAAGCCGCCGGGAAAGCGAGTAGACGTTGAAAAAGCGGCTGCAGGATTTCAGCTTAATATTCGGGCTCAAACCGCCCAAGGGACTTTTTTGAATTTCGAGGCCTTTGTTTTCCGGCCTTTTTTTGGCACGTGCGGTGTGTAAGGAACTCTATGCGTGCATGTTTAAGCCTCATCATATTGCTTGATCTCGGCTTGTAGATACGTGAGTAGATTTAAGTAAGGTTTATTAAAGTGAATCACGCTTTTGTTTAAGAAAGATTTAATATAAATACAGTAAATTAAAAGCGACTTTTCTAATATTTCTACAGAGAAAGTATTAGTTTTTATTCCTCTTTGAAATCCGCTTCTAGGAAGCAATTTTTTAATCTTTTTCATTTCTTCAGAAGAACATATCAGTGAAAGAAAAACGACTGCTGTCTTTTTATCAGTATTTAAAAGGAACTATTAATCAATTTTTCGATTTATTAGTCAGCTAAAATAAAAATAACATTTATAAAGAGTAAAATTTGCTCTGTCAATAACAAGTACACAAAACTTATACAGTTGGCACACATGATAAGTAATCTTAAAAAGGATACCCTTGATTTGCAAACCAAAACATTTTAATGCCTTTTGTCCTAGTTTAAATGTCGGTTTGTAAACGCTTGTGTAGTAAAAATTATTATGAAATTTAGCACTATTAGAGCTTTGTGTTCAAATGACTTGGTAAATTGTTAGCATACTGCATTATGATTACATGTTGAATCTAAATTACCGCTGTATAAAATTCGTAATAAGTTTTCAAAAGAAAAAAGTGTCATATTTAAAATTTTAATCCAACGTACTACAAAATTTGTACATTCAATGGATATACTATAGTGAATGATGACGTGATATCATTTGAAGTTTAAATCGCTCATGACATTGTTTTCTTGTCAAACATTAAGCTTTGCTGTTACGTGATAACGATAGTTAAGCCGTGTAAGAGGTTCTATGGCTGCTTAAACAGCTCTAATAACTAGGCCAGCTAAACCTCTTACTAGCTAATATAACTACATTAATTCGAGTAAGATTGATGCATATTGTAGATAAATATTAGACATTATGTAAATTACTAAGCACTGCTTGTGAAAATGTGAAGGTTTGAGAAGGTCACCAGTGACCACAGAGTCTGATCCAATATTAAATAATCAGTGTACGTGTGAATATAACAACAAATTAAAATGTTTATATTTTAAATTATAATATTAAAGTAACCAATTCATTGGGATTATTTTTAGATTTACCAAACGAGATAAATCTCAAAATACCTCCGTAGCCAAGTGGTTCGCACGCCGGTTTCAAGGTGTCGCCATCTGTGAGGTCCCGGGAACGATTCCTGGTCGGGTCAATGTAGAAAATGAACTTTTCTATATTAACTCGGGTCTGGGTGTTGTGATAGCTTCGTTGTCTCAGATACTCCATAATACGGGGGCTTTAGCTACTCATCTTGGAATCTGAGCAATGTATGTGATGTTGTTAAATATTTATTTATTTATTTATAAAAAATCAATCTTTTGGAATAATCTGAAGACACGCTTAGAAATATTAATGAAAGGGTTCAATCTATATATGTTTAATGAGGAAGTACAAAAAATATAGTTCTCAAAATTAAACTAGATGTCGCTGTGTCTAGATGTCACTTTGAATTTGTTGTTTTCAATCAAACTTTCTGTGATATTATAATCAACAGCGCGACAGTCTATACCAAACTGTCAACTTTTCTCATTTGATTTTAAACCTTAATACGTTGAGGGCAGAAGTCAAAATCCATTACGAACATTTGACATTGTGGTAATCTGACATGCAGCCTTGATCTTCATATTTCTTTTATTATGTACGATTTGGAAATTATTTCTAATTTCAGTTGATTATTACGTTATGTGTAAAGGAACGAAAGTTGTATTTTGTACATTTTAATGCCATCTTTTCACGTCAAGAATTGACAAACATTTCTTGAACGCTCTATGTCAATCTAACGACATCTTATTTTTAAATTATTTTTTGTCCTTACTGCCAGCAAAATAATATTACACTCAAATAATGAGAGGCAAGTTCTCTTTTCACTTTCCACTACTATAAACTTCATCATAATTTACTTAGATTATAATTTATTAACTAGATTTTACATCGATATTTAAACAAATGAAGTTCAGTTCCAAATGAAAAATTATGCCATTTCATGAATTTATAGCTAGATATCAGTCAGTGACAGTGAGCTTCGAAAATTGACGTGCATATTTGTTTGAAGTAATCCAACATTGCCCCTAGCAGATTTTTCCCATTTGATCTACAACACAATGCTGACCCATTTCCAACGTAGGCTTACCTTTCTATCTTCCCCATTCTCTACGCAAATAAAGTTTATATCCGTCGGTAACAACCTTAATTGCTTCCGCTCCGTATCCAATTAGACACATTCGTAAATTTTGTAATAGGATATATGTTCCTACCTTTTTCAGGGTTCGTCCTACACCCGATTTTTGAGCGAATACTAAATCTAACTCACGTTTGACTAATATGCACTCATTAGCCACTATCAAACAATTGCCTTGTGGTTTTTTATTTTATCACTAGTATTTTAAGGTTAATAAGAAAAAAGGAAATAAAAGTTAATTAGAGATAAAAAAAATAAGAGACTGCTCCTCATAAACTGCTTCTAATTAATACGACAAAATGGTTACACAGAATGTCACGAAAAAGTACTTAAACCTGTCCATGTCACACTTGACCTATTTTAATTTCGTCGTCTGACCATTCAAATTTTTTTCCATCCGGTCCTCTTTACAGCGAAATGAATGCTATTTCCCAAGGACGATACTCTTTTGAAAATTAGCCTCGTGGTCCCTTTTCACTGGCATATAAATCAAGTTTTTGTTCAAAGCTCCGTGTAGCCTTTTCGAGGTTTGTGAAATTGGCTACGCTTTACTAACTGTGGCGTAAAGAAGGACCTAATGAAATTTGTGCTCAACGAATGGGATTAAATAACGATTGTTGATAATTCCACATGTGTAGAATTAATGACATAAATATAGATTGTGTAATGCTGTATCTAATACCATAATTCCAACACATATTGTGATACCATTTTTTCAAATTACTTTAAAAGATATAAAAATTTATAACTGTTTAAGAATGCAATAATTTTGTAGTGTGCATGAAAATATAAGAGATAAGTATTAATAAAATTCTCCATAATTCCAAATTATTGGTCATAAATACGAACCAAAATAAATTACAATATGATTTTCACACTAGACAATTTTCAGCTAAGAGACATTTGTGTTCGTAGATCAATTGGATATTAAATTATTCAAGACCCTTACCTTGAGCTGGGGCGTAGATGTTCAAATACAGGCAATCTTCCGACTGATTTGTCAAGAAGGGCAATATTCTCTTCAAGTACTCGAACCTCCCTTTTGATATCCTTTTAAGTACTGCTGTCTCGTTTCTTATATCCGGTAATACTTGTGGGCACACTGGACTAAACTCTTCGGCTATTTTGACACCAGACCATTGTGCACCTGATACTGGTGGCATGAATCTAAGCGTACCGATTGGCGGCGATGCATAAGGTACACCACGGAACACTTCCACTGGCTCTAAGAATCTCGATTCTGGCGTAACAATAAAACCTCTTATGTCACCGTATTTAGTCCGGACCACCCTCGAGCTTATCATTGGCTGCGGATGCTTCTCATCCATTGTGGATTCTCCCATCACCAGTCTTGTTGTCAGCACGGGAAGCGAGATGAAGTATACAATGGTCAGTATTAACATTTTTCCGCTTCCGCCGCCAACTGTCTAAGTACTCTCCGTGGTCGGTTTGTGCTATAAGTCGACCATTTTGTGAGGCGGGTCTGCTTTCGCGGACCATTTATTGCACTATCTGTAACAAAGGGATATACGAATTACTGCGGAGATACTATATTGTTCCTTATTGACGGCCACAATTACTCTGTCAAGTGTAAAAAGACTTAGAAGAAGAAAATATTGTTTATAGTCTGTTGGCGTTCTTACTAAAATCTTACTTAGGTATTTGCTATCTATACTAATATTATGAATAGGAAAGTGTGTTTTTTCTTCTCTTACGTTGCAACTGAATGTGATTATGATACGATTTCTGTGGAGATGGTCTAGACAGTGAGATATGGTAATTAATATGGGAAAATACATCGTGTTGCGTATTTGAATCTCTCCACGTGCAAAGCTGCAAAAACGGCTAATAGGCTAAACAAGCTAGCTTGGAGACTTGAATTTTTTTACAAACAATATTGACTTTCTAGTTTCACCACATTAATTTCAGCGATTCTTTTCATCAGATTTTAATAACTTGTCTAATAAAACCATAATTAAAATGTTACTTCAGACATAACATGAAACTCTGTTTAAACTGCGAAAGATTGTGATATAATGTTACTGTTATATTAAATTTCGCTTTTCATCTCGACTTTGGTTTCAGAGAAGGAATAAATTTAATAACAATGACGCAGTTAGTTAATATAGTATAACACTATCGGACTATTAATGTCTTCATTGCAAGGGATATACGCTTTCAATCAGCAAAAAGAAAATTTATTGTTTAATATTTTTTCATTATGCATTGTATGTTCAAGTTAAGGGTCGTGATTTCTACGAATAACTGTTTCGTGGAAACAGTATTTCTCCAACCTGGTCTGTTTTCGTTAATGTAAATGATATTACAGATTGAAGTTTGGTTTGTACCCTCCGCATTAAAGGTCATCGTCGGTTGCAAAACAGATTCATTGCGCAACTTTCTACCATAATCTGATTGTGAATTTTTATCAAAATCTATTAACTATATTTTTTTTAATTTGATTCATTATTTTTTGTTACGAAGATTGGCATGTCAATATGTATTATTACTATTGTTTATAATGTGATATGTGTGATTTAACGTATTCTACATAAAGTAAATGAATTTGTTTGAGAAGTAATTCATGACCGATAATGTTGCAGTCTAGTCTAAAAGTTCATTTGCTTTATTATTTTTAGTCTATTATATGTTCATTTGTTTAATTATTATTCATCTGTTTGCATTAAATAAATAAATTAATACATTTTGTATCGTCTTATATAACTATCGCGACAAAAACGCGTTTAATCAGGGCCCTGGTATTCCTGGAGACCTGGAAAAGTCAAGAAAGAGATACAGAGAATAGATGCATTCGAAAGGTGGTGCTGGAGGCGTATGCTCCGAATACCGTGGACAGTCAAACGCACAAATGTGTCTATTCTCTCCCAGCTTGACATTAAATCCTGACACTCGAGTTTGTGTCTGCAACGCATACTTTCTTACTTCGGCCAAATTATGCGAAAAGGAGATGGTAGCCTTGAAAAATTGGTCATTGTTGGAAATACAGAAGGAAAAAGATCACGAAATAGGTCACAAACACGATGGTCTGACCAGGTGAAAGGAGCTACATCCCAACCCAAGTTCTGCGAGGTGGTGAGGGCTGCTTTGGATCGGAATCGATGGAGGGGGATTGTTCGTTTGACGACTTCCAGTGATCAAGATCCTCAGTAATGAGGGACCGACTACAGAGAGAGTATCGTCTTATTTTAATCAAGGCCTATAACCAGTGAGCGACAGAAAAAGTAACTATATTGTTACCCGCAGGCTATACCCATCTGTCAAAAGTTCATGCAGTTGCCAAAATAAATACAAAAAGCCAATACGAAACGGTCAATTTTCTATAACCGGTACAAGATTGTAACGCTACGTCGTGTTACCGACCACAGCGTAATAAGCAATGAAATATGTGAACAATATAATTTGCCTTTATTTGCAAATAATTATTTGAGTAGGCAACAAAAGATATATGTATAATACTAATATTAAGGTTGTCGTTATAGTAATATACGTTTCTTCTCGAAGTGTTCCAAAGTGCCTGTTAATATCGAATACGTGTCTTCATCTGTAATCCTAGCGCTCATTACACTGAAGCCTTCATGACAATTATACATTCTATTGTACTAATCTCGTATGCCAGTCACGACGTACTCATTACCAGAATAAGTTTAACCAGGACTCCATGGGAATAAGACTTTTACGAGTATAATTTTGTTGTTAACTAAATGATGTTGTTGGATTTGAAATCTTTACTTAAAGCAGCTGATTCAACATACAGTTATTCGAAGTATTTTATTATACCATTTCATAATATGAGTCTTTAATGACTTACGAACGTTATATGTCTCCCGTAAAAAATTAGCGAACTTATCAATATCAGACATAAACTAGGCATCACAACTGCATATATTAAAACAATCTAAAACGATGCAATATTCTTCATTGTTTGAAATAATTTGGAAAGTCGCATTTCAGTTCAATCGCGTGGAATTTAATGCGTATGGAGCGCTATTATCGAGATTAAACAACTTTTGCAAAGGACAATCGTCGTATGAGTAACGAATATTTAATATCTAGAGATCCTTCGTTTTTTCAAAGCCTGCTCTTAATTGAGTCCGCATTCGTTATAAGAATTTTTATTTTTGTTTCGGTTTCTGTTTGAACCTTGCCTATTCTTTATTTATCCATTAGCTTTGCCACCACATAAGATTGATGCCAAAGTGAAGGTTTATTTCTGGAATTTATTAATTTAAACAGATAGTGTTTCGAGAGGGTGGTTTTTCTGGTAGCCAACATAAAATTATCTTTTAAGCCCTTACACAGTAGTCTAGTGCGATATAATTACTATTTAAAAGACTGCAAAGTATGTTAAACTTACCTATTTTAAATAACAATACGAAAAATAGTGGGTTTAAGCTTTCTTGAGAACGAGGACCATATAAAAAAATATGAATATTAGTATACTGCATCCTCGATATTAGTTTTATAACTAATTTGTAAACAATACGATATTACTTTACCAATAGTATGATTTAGCGAAGATTATTTTTGATGAGATTCGTTTTAGACCCTGATGCTAAGACTCCGCTATCCGTCCCTCTGTCTGTCTGTCTGTATGTTACTAGACTGTATCTCATGTAGTGTGTTAGTTAAGTTTTACACAACTGCTCAAAAAAGTAGTGTATTGTATTTAGGGTTAACGTATGCGAGATTTTTTTCTACCATTACTTTTGAAAAACTGAAGAGACCTAAAGTATAGTAAAGTATATATGATATCATTAAAAACCTTACATCATTTCGAGTAACACTGGATATTTTTTTTAAGTATCTCATATGGCTAATGTGTGACGTCATTTAAAAAAATATATTCATTCAATTATAACATTATGTTTATCAAATTAAAGGTCTTAATGCGTACATTCCAAAAATATGTACTTTGTATACATTTACTAAACATTTAAAAGAATAAAATAAAAATGAATAACTTACAAAATTAAAAAACACGACTGCTTAAATAGAACTTGAAATAAAAGAAACAAGTTGTATTATGGCTTGGCTAAGTCCTCATTGCAGTCAGGGGCCGTTCTGTGGAACATTTGTAATTTTAGAGGTCCTCCCACTGCACCGAGGATTTTATATAGCAAATACAATACGACTTATTTCTTTCTTTTAGTCCGATTCTGGCAGTCGTAGCTTATAATCTTCAATCCATGTAAATTTGAATACATGAAAAATATAATGGTTTTCTGAAACGCCTTTCTAAAATAGTCATTAAATAGATATTAATATAAATGATTATGTATCAAAATTTTTTGAAATTAATAAATTGAATTGAAATTGAAATCTATAAATTATTTATTTTTTAATAATATTATGTCATGTGTGGTCAACAAACACATAATTTTCTTTCTTTATTTATTTGCGATTTATAATTTGCAGTTATTTTATGCTAATATGTTAGCGATTGTAAAACATACAAATTGTTTCAGCTGTTTGTCATGCCATGCAGGTCGTAAAAATTCACTGAGGAAATGTGTTTTATACTTTTATGAAGGCGACAGAATGCAGTAAAATACCATTTAGGAGTATACGCAAGCAGAATCGTAATTGAATATCCCTTTTTTATACCCGTAGTTAAATATATAAAACATATTAAAACTATATATTTATCTTTCTATATTATTTAACGTCTACTAAATATCTGCAATAAATTTAAATTATATGTTAACGCTTCAAATTCAAAGGAAGTTAGTTATTTGATAGTTTTCTACAAACATACGATGTATTTCACAATTTTTTGATCGACAAGGTTATTATATACCTTAATTACACGGGTCATATTGGCGTCGTCATTGTATCTAATTGGTATAAGCACCTGAACCTTTCAAACTCCTAAATCTGAAGATTTTAAAATAATATATTTTTGGATATTCATCCACAAAACCGTAACAACTGCGACATCTGACTCCTCAATTCCGTATTTTAAACAAGTAAAGCCGTTGACTTCGTAATAGTTGCATAACACAACCACTCCTTCATTTTCATCTGAATTGTCTAACCGAAATTGGAATCCGTAGAAACAGTTCCAAGAAACTCAATTTAACATTGCTCGCGATACAATAACGGAATTTTCTAAGTTTAAAGTGGTTATGGTGGACAATATACAAAGTTGTGGATACCGTGTGTGTTGAACTAAAACAGCAGTAAAATCTGGCTACAATACAATACTGGGGGCTATTCTCCATCGATAGTACCGAGTTATTGGTGCAATAAATCCAATGCAGATAAACACACCAATAAACATCTGAACAGTTTTCCTCGTAAACGTCCTTTACAAAGGAACAGCTTCCTTCTACGCCTTGGATACGGTCATAAAATCTGGAGATAGAGATTTGTGAATATTTAT